CGATAGAAATACCTTAAATGCCTACAGTTGTCCTATTGACGAAAATTAAATCATCGATAGAAATACCTTAAATGCCTACAGTTGTCCTATTGACGAAAATTAAATCATCGATAGAAATACCTTAAATGCCTACAGTTGTCCTATTGACGAAAATTAAATCATCGATAGAAATACCTTAAATGCCTACAGTTGTCCTATTGACGAAATTAAATCATCGATAGAAATACCTTAAATGCCTACAGTTGTCCTAAGATTATGTTACGGAATGTATATTCTGTAGTCCAGACTTTTTCATGCAGTTTGTTCATGTTGAGATTACATAGGTTGAAATGTTCTCTACCGTTCATGGTGACGTTTCGCCTCATTACTGTTCTACTCCAATTCAGATAAGCATACTTTGTTAATTGTATTATTTATATAGTTATTTAGTTGGAAATACGAAACAGCATTAAAATATTTCAGACAGAAAACCGAACAAAAAACCTTACCCAAGTAAGTATCTTTAAAAAAAAGTAATTCAGCATCAAAGGAACAAAAACTGAGAACAACATTTTTAAAGATAAATAACAGAACAAATATACTGATTTTATAATAGGAAGTTTTTATTACCTCGAAGTTGAGTGTTCCACTGTGTGCTGATTGTTTAAATGTGTGAAAAACGTAGTGAGCATACTGTGTAGCATCTAAAAGAGAAAATACATACTCTTAATAAAAGGATACAAGTCAGAAAACAAGGTGTTAAAGGTATGAGGTAAAAACTGACTATTTGCACTTACTTGTCAAAGTATTGAAGCTAACAAAACTACTAAACCACATCATAATGAATTCTAGAAGTTAAAACAATGTTTTCGTTAAGTAATTACATATGGACTTTGTTTACCTCAGTTATTTTGGCTGAACGACGTTTCGGTCTGTGCAGAGAATTACACCTGACAGAAACGACTTTGGGGTAAAAATTCAAAGAGGGTTGAAGTACAAATTAGTCCATCCGATGTTAAAAACAAAGGTTGCTTAAATTGCCACTTGGAAACAAGTCGAATAAAACTCAATAATACAACGATAAGGTGTCTTTGTCGTGTCTTGCTGAATCTACGCTTTACTTGTTTGGGTGTCATATTTCCACAGTTTCAGATATACAAAAACACCGACTATAAACAAATGGCGTTTAAAGGTAAACAAGCATCAATAATACAACGATAAGGTGTCTTTGTCGTGTCTTGCTGAATCTACGCTTTACTTGTTTGAGTGTCATATTTCCACAGTTTCAGATATGCAAAAACACCGACTATAAACAAATGGCGTTTAAAGGCAAACAAGCATCCGGATCAGTCACAAGTTCTGGTCAAGTAATCCATCAAAAATAAATGTTTAAGGAAAAGTGCGATATCTATGCGTGTAAACAACAGATCAAATTTAGTCAAGACATGACCAATAAACAAACAAAAACAATAACTTTCATACTGATCAATGACTGTTTTGAATGCTAATTTTTAAAGATGGACCTAGACAGTTTATAGATGCTTTTTCCTTCAGAAAATTAAAAAAGAAAATAATTGTATGTCGAAAAATTGTTGGTAATACGATCTAATGGAGTTTTCTAATACAATAAACTCACTTTTCACTCCATACGATTGGCTTTAAGAACTTAGACGGATGAGTAATTGTAATATATATAGAGGAATCAAAATGGATTCTTTTAACCACATTCTTATAAAGTGTTTTAGCATGAAGATACAAACCCACACGTAAAAACTAATCAAGATAAGTATTTGAACTAAACAGAACTAAAAAAAACTGCCTGATTTTTTGCTGAAAACTAGGACATACGAAGGAGACTCTCCTACCTAACCCATCTTGTTAAATGCCAGACAGAAGGCATAGTTTTAAACCTCAAAAAAAATCGATACGATATTAAGGTGGTTGCTTCTACGTGTTCAGTGGGAACTGGTTGTTATAGAAACGTGTAGCTCTGGATTTATTGAAACATGAGAAAAATGTGTACATGATAAAAAAAACATTTCCGCTGCAAACTGATCCCATTTAGAGAGGAATAATCAGCACAACTTATTCTAACATCGAGAAGTCTGTCCAAAGTTTAGTTTTAGATTGTGTGGAGGAGAATTATTTTTGTTGGTGATGTTGGTAACTTTCTTAGGAAACAGGTTTTTAGCGCTGTAGAGAATAACATTTATATATGCACTTTATTAATCCAAATTGTACTATGAAAGATGCATTACAGATACACACAAAACAATGGTTGCTGCTCAAAGTCCACACCTTCAGTACTCTCAATTTAAACCTATTGCAAGGGAACACTTACGCAAAGGAAATGGATAATGTATTCATGGGACAACTGTAGGCATTTAAGGTATTTCTATCGATGATTTAATTTTCGTCAATAGGACAACTGTAGGCATTTAAGGTGTTTCTATCGATGATTTAATTTTCGTCAAGGTAAAAGTAAAAAATAGATTTAATATTATAATTTATTCATTAAATTAAGTAATGCCGTTACCCATAGAAATAATTACAGTATCTTAAGTCAGACTATAAACTAAGTTAACCGGTATCACTAACCAGACAAAAAAAGTTTGTTTACCCAGTATCTTAAGTCAGACTATAAACTAAGTTAACCGGTATCACTAACCAGACAAAAAAAGTTTGTTTAC